GGGGGGGGGCAGGGCTGCCGTCATCCCTCCCCTCCACCTCTGAACACAGCAGGGTCACTGCAGCTAGCACTGGGAAGAGCCCTCCCAGACATCCCTGAATCAGCCCTGTCGCTTGTGATGCTAGTGACGGTCTTGCACAACTGTCAGAAGCACTTTGCAATGAGCAAAGTATTTTTCCTGGTGCAAAGTCAAGATATGCAAAATTTGCCAGTGGTCACGCTGCCACAAGACCACCAGTAAACCGAAGGAGTTTGGCAGCACTTTGAACGGTCTGTCTCTATAGGGCTGTATTTCAATAACCCCGTAAATTTCCGGGCCAGCCTAATCCTGCAGAGCGAGAACACTCTTCTCCTTCCTGCCTCGTTCCTGCTTCCACAAACTACACGAGTACCCATGGGAGAGGGGATAACAGAGGAGGCTATCACACAGCACGCAGTAAGTGTTTTGTAACAAGAACAAGTGACGAGGGACTTCCTGGCAGGCATGCTATATGCTATATTTCCTGTTTGCACTACCGTGGCACCCAGCCAGCTGTGAGACCCACCAAGTTCAGGCACAGCCTTATATGGGCTTTTCTTGTGGGCTCAGCCCCCCCCATTAGAAATCACCTCTGTCAGCTAAGAGATGCTTGACTGACAACATGCCTGCAGTCCCCCAGCCTGCTCCTGCCATGTGCCAGCAACATCTTGTGCGGGGAGGTGTGAGTCAGGAAAGGGCTTGCTGCAGCTGAGAGTTTGAATAGGAGAAGCCATGCATGGTTGCAACTGTTTTGTGCCACCCTGAAAGATTTTGCTAGGCAAGCAGCCTAGGAAACTGCAGCACAGCGGAAGGCTGCAGAGCGTCGCCATGCATCGTCTGTGAGAGGTATTTTCCCACCATAGCCGTAGCAGCACAAATAGAAAGGCATCCGTAAATAAAACAAAAGCTGAGGAGAGGCTACAGAGCAGGGTCTCGGCATGAGCAGTTGCAAGGTTTGGAGTACTCCCTCACTTTTTAACCTCTTAGGCACCGGGAGAAAGCTGCTCCCTCTCTTTGTCTTAGGTCTGGACAGACCATCAGTGGGTAAGAGCACAATGTGCCCCAGCCCTAAAATCCATGGGTTTGTCTCGCCCTTTCCAGGGTCGGTCCCCCCTTCCCAGGACCTACCACTTGTCATGTGAGATACTTTTGCAAGCTTCTTCATGACGTTATCAAGCCGTGATTGAGTGCTGTCTAATTCATGAGAGAAGTCATCCAGCATCCTGGGGACAGAGAAGCGCAGTACCAATTAATGCCTGATGCATCTCTTCAAGATTTCTCCGTGTGCTGACATGCACCGATCAAAACACCACCGCGATGAGCATGTCAGACCTTAGCAAAGAAAAGGGACATGGTTTGCTCTCTTGAAAGCACCCAAGCAAGCAAAAAAAAAAAAAAAAAAAAAAAACGGGGGGGGGGCAGCAGCTCTGCTTTGGTGGAAAGTGAGAATTCATTTGGGACTCCTGCTTGACTGATTCCCCCAAGTGCACGCAGGCACTTTGCAGGTAAGGCCCACTGATTTCTGCAAGGGGAGGAGCAGGGTTTTTCCTCCTTTTAGGATGAAAGTCATGTTTATAATCCATGATTAGCAGAGAATTTTAGATTTAGGTGATGTTTGGGCTTTAAATCGGTTTTGCTGTTCAAGGCTTGCAGCTGAAGCTAAAATCTTGTGTCAGTCATGTATCAAGCAGGAATGAGATTTGCAATTGCTTTTACTGTGCCTTTTAAGCTCTGTATGGAAGTTACCTATCTGCTTCCTTCACGCAGCAACTGTAATGGATCTAAAAGCCTTCTGAAGCAGTCAGTGACAAGAATCTATGTCAAGACAAATGAGTATATCTGGAATCGAGGTACCCAATTCATCTTCAACGAGCGGGATTCTAAAGCTTTTACATGCTTAAAAGGACAGCTTCCTTCATTTGGAGTTCTAGGGCACCCAAATTTCTTCCACCGTCCCATCTTTTCTGTCCTCCCTTTTTGTTAAACCTTCATTTGCGGTAGAAAAGAGTTAAGGCGATACGGCTTTTTTACAACTCTATCTGCTTCTCTCTAGGAAGCGCTGAAGGCATACGTGAAGATCTGGGAACGGACATACCACACTGACCTGCTTCAGTGAGACCACAGATATCTGCAGGGCTTCGTAAGTGATGCGTTTAAAGTTCCTCCTGTCCATCAAAGGAAACATCACTTCACAAGAGGCAGAGCCCTCTAGACTCTTACCAGCCACACAAGGAGATTTTAGGCATGAACCATTTAAGTTCATGCCTAAACTGCTAGCCTGCAGAGCTGGAAACTTTATGCACTCCTTTGCAAAGGACATGCTCTGGGAAAGAAATCTAATTTATATGTAAATGGGTGGATGCAAACTACTGTATGAGCTACCCTTTAACCCTTTGCGTGGGTGAAGATTATTTTTAGCTTTAACTGTGAATAGCAGCTCTGCGCTGCAAGTTTCAAACCCAGCAAGGCAGAACTCCAAGCTACTGCGTCGCACAACCCCAGTCACCCAGAGGTAGCACAAAAACCTGTGGAGTGGGAAAGCGCCTAATAATCTGCTTACATACGACTGCCCTCTCTCATCTGTTCAGTACTGCTGGCTGACCGAAGTCAAAGGAGCATAACTGCGTGCCTTAAAGGGAGTGTTTAAAAAGACTACAGACTAAAGGTAAAACTGGAAGCTAAACCTGCCCCAGGTGCAAGCTTTCAAAGGAACAAGACTGCGGTTGGATCCTTGCACGCCTGAATAAGAAGTGCTTTCCACTGCCGGAAATCAAAGGCAGTCTAGGGCGCTGGAGGGGGCAAGCTAGGAGTGACTGCCTAAGGGATGAGGAAATTCAAGGCCTTAATAGCTGTACAGATGTGTCAGCGAGGAATCCCCCCCTAGATGGGCTGCACCCAGCCCCACACCCACAGGGTTTTTGGTGTTGTGTCTCAGCACTTACACAGCCTGTTCCTCCAGCTCCCCACCAATGCGCTGGGACATGTTCTTCAGCACCCCGATGCTGCCAGAGACCAGCTCCAACTGCTCATCTTGCTGCTCCACAATCAGCTGGGGCCAAAGAGAAGGGAAATGGGCAATTACAGTCCTGCTGCCTTCTGCAACTGGGTTAAAGCCAGCTACTTGGATGGACGCTTGCTAACTCCACCAATTTCAACTGTGGAGCCTGGGAACAGGCTCTAGGAACCAGAACTGCATTTCTAAGAAATGCTTGAGAACTGACAGCAGCACAAAAGTCTCCCAGGCACCCTTGCACTATGGCCAGCTGCAGCTTCCCTTCTACTGTCCCTGCAAATTCAGCCTCGACTCAGCCACACCGCGTCCTTTTCCTGTGCACCCACCGCTAAGAAGACTCTTCAAAGCTAGAGCCCCTGGCTAGCAAGACCTCCGCAAGTCTCGCTGCCTTCAGCAGGTACGGTAGCGGGTACCTGGGAGCCACGCTGCTGCCAGGCCTGAGGGAACACAACCGAGAGCACGGTGCAGAGTTACGGAAGAGTTAATGCGAGTAAAAGGCTATTACAACTGCTGTGGCTAAAAATAACAAGCCTGGCTCTCAATGTGCCAAAGGAATAGGTCTGCTGATGTTTTAAGTCATTTTCAGGGCACAATCACGCTAAGGATTAGGTTTACCCTAGTTACCTACTTCTGAATCTGTTTATCTTCCTAGAGTCACTAGGTAAAACTCATTCGAAAGCCAGAGCAGCATTATGTGTCAGGAGCCTTTGCAGAATTTGCTTCCTCTGTGAAGCGGCCTATTTAAGGGCCTGTGTTTGGGTGGGCTGCTGCATGCGGACGTGTGCGCTGCCCCAGCACTTCTCCAAACGCATTCCACCAGCTCCAGTGAACCACTGCACTGGGGATTCGAGCAAAGCCCTGACGCAGATCTAGCGAATCTTGTGGTCAAAAGCAGAAAAAGGAAGTAGGCACATGCTCCTGCTCAGTCTATTCTGAGGAAGATGCACACAAACGACAGCAAATATCAGCTCACTTTTTAACCAAGGAAAGCTGCCTAAGAGAAATGTGCACTCCCCTTTTCCCAACATTTCTACTCTTCCAAGGATTTCAGCAGTCCTTGCAGTACTCGAGTTTTGCATGCTCCAGTTTCCAGATCATCTTGTTTGTCTTCTGTACAGAGCAGAACATCCAAGTCTCAAGGGTAAAATATTCTGCACCAGGATACATCTGAAGCCACGCTGACCAGAGAACACACACACTGGTATATACTGTAGCTAAACAGCGGGTTGTCAGGCTCCTGGCTTCAGACCAGCCAAGGACTGGATTTTTTTTTTTTTGCTCTTGCAGCCTGCACCCCACCTCCCTGGCACGCGTTTGGCAAGCAATGCCTTACCTGTTGTTGAGCTTGTTGCTCTTCAATGAAGTGTGAATTTGCTAATTGCAGCTCCCGATCCAGGCGGCTGTATTTGTCAGGTCCAGAGCTCCAACTCTGACTCCCACTTTCTCCCAGGAGTGCCTAAACAGATGCAGAAAGCCCTTAGCTAGACCTTCGTGTCTGCTCACAGCCCATCTACAGCGTGGAGTGGAAAGTGGATAGAGCGATACTCTTGTACAAACACATACAGCAGCATCCTTTTCCTCCCCACTCTACTGATATCCAGCCAGAGCGCTGTCAAACTAAAACAATGCAGTGCCAACCTGGGAAAACTGTGCAGCCTGATTATTGCAGATATGCCACTGCAGCAACAGGCGAGCTGGAGTATGACTGGCAGACAGGGAGAGAGTGTAAGCAGGACATCTACAAAAGGCCAAAGTCTGCTCAAGGTGTGGTAGTGTGCAAGGAGGACATATAAGCTGGGAAGCATCCACATATTTAGTGTTAACAGATGTAGAGCATGAACTGAACACTGTGCTAAGAATGACTAGGGCTTAAGAGGGTCTGGATAAAGTACTTAATCAGTTGAGCACGATAGTTGACGGAGTAAAACAGTGCAATATATGCACAATGCAGTGTTGTATGCAGGGCTCGGGTTCTTTGATTCAAGTTGTCTGTTCCTGCTGCATACCATTTAGTTGCCAATATACAAGATTACACTTGCTTCCTGCTCTGTAGCCTGAATGGAAAAGCAGTGCAAAGCCAATGGAGAAGCAGGCTTTACAGCTGAGTCAGTCTGGCCCCTGGAACAGGTAATATGACCGACAGATGCTGGAGAATCATCTATGGCCAGAAGGCGAGGAGCTGCACCATGCAGCATTACTAACAGGTTAGGGAGCTTTGCCCACCAGTGCAAGAGGCAAGGCCAACTCTTTAAGAGAGGTGTAGGAGGGTGAGATGAGCAGCTTTTGGACATGGGCAGCTGAGGAGGAGGGGACGATGGCATCTTTGTGAAGAGCAGCCAGACAAGGACCGGGCGACTAAGACAGGTTAAACGCGAGACGGGTTCTACGGTTCATCTGGTTTATAAAGGTCAGGGAGCGCAGAGAAAGCCGTGAGGGACCAAGCAGGAAGCCAGACAGACAGCTGTTCTTGTCCACCCCCGAGACACTGGGCAAGTTCCTGGTTCTCTCCAGTTTGGGGCAAGCCCTACTATCACTTACTTAACAGTGTGCACTAGCTTTGCTGCAGCTTCAATAGCCTGTACTTCCCAACCTTAGCTTAGTGATGTGAGAGTCAAGTCACCACCAGCCAAAGCCAGCCTCTCAAACACAGAGGCGCTCTGGAGAACGCCTTGCAGCCCAATACAGCTGTCTGAAGTCTGAAGGAAAGGTGAGGGACTGGAGAAGGGAGAGGAAGACACCAAGAGGAATCTGTTTTCTTGAACAGATGTCACTGCATGAACTGGACCTCCTACAGCGAGCAGGAGCATCAAGGAAAGGAAAGCAGCAAAATGCAGAGACATCTACAGACTTGTCCGAGCAGGGGTATAAGGAGTTTGCACCTTCAAGTGTTTGCCACGCATGTTAGTTAACCCTGTAACAAGCTCAGGAATTAGCTCTGTCCTCCTCAGCAGCTTGTTCCAGAGTTTGTCATTTTTGCCACACGTAATAAGATCGATCCAGTCAGAAAAGTCTGCTGTATCAAGCGCACACCAACTTTTACAAGAGGCAGCTTTGGAAGTCGACTTGGAGATCTCCTTACAATTTCCCTGTCAGCTGGAGGGGAGCACATGTTGCATCTATTACTTAGATTGCAAGTGCGGACAACCTGAGACTCCTTGAACTTCTTCCATCCTCTTATGAGGTTAACTATTATGAGATGCAGCTATTTGTAAGGATATATAGCATCCTGGCTCCTAAGTACAGTAGAGCACAGGATTACTTGTACTGCCTTGGATTCTGACTCTGCTCCTCCTGCAAAGGAAGGAGATTCCCTTTCCTGAAGAGTGATGCAACACTGACAGTTGTACACGGTCAGTTCTGACGACAGAGACAGATGGTGAGTGGTAACCGGTTACTTTGAGAGACCGGTTTGGAAGGGAGTGACGACAATGTGCCTGCAAGAGCCAGCTCTCTCGTGGGCTCTGGAACGACAGGCCAGCAAAACAGACACAGTTCAAACACACGGCTTTGTTGCAACATGTAAGCCCCCCTTGCCAGCACAAATGTTTTTAGGCGAGGAGCTACGAAACAGGATATATTTTGTAATTACAGCTTTTAAGGATTTTTGTTCAACACTATACGCTCTACCTTAGGACGTGGGGCCCCAGAGTAAGTGAAAACGAAAGTTTCATGTGACACATACCTTAAGACAACAGCTGCTAAAGCTGATAAATCCTCCTCAAACTTTAAAGTATCAAAAAGGCTATGGCATTCATTTAACTTGCCTGTTTCTGAGTCTTACCTGCCTGTTTTTTCTTTCAGCCAGCGCTTGCATGGAAGAGTTTGACATCTGATCCTTCATTTCCTGTTTGTTCAAAAAAGAAGTAGTATGTGAGCATTAGATTTGAGATGATAGGCGGTTTCAGTTTGCTACAATGCTGTCTATACCCAGCGAGATTTCTTGCGGGGGTGGATTTTCCTTACAAACATATGCAGTTTTGAAGAGCCTGGAAGGATGCTGAAGAAGGCTCCATCATAGTTCATAGTTTTACTAGAACTAGAATCATTTGCAACGGGATATTTTGAAAAAATTCCTTATTTACTTTTAGTGTTGCTTCTCCACAGAGAGAAACACTTTGATTTGTATAAGATTAAACTAATCTTCCCATTAACAGACTGTAAAGAAGAGTTATGTTCTTGACCTGAAGGTGTCGGAAGCCTGTAACCTGCACTTTGTTCCCAGTTGCCTCTGGTTTAACATGGCATAGGCCACGATAGATTTCTCGTCCTATGGCAATCCTCTCTGACGGTGCCTAGATTTCTCTCCTATAAATTAAAGTTTGTTCTTGAAACATTGTAGGAGCTGGCTAGTCAAAGAAGGATCCCAAACACTTTTTAAAGTAGTCCAGTTCTTATAGGATAGATTATCAAATAGTTAGTATGAGCTATCAAAGTTTGATCCATCTCATCTACCAGCACAGTTCTGATGACACCAGAAGATGCAGCTATGTTTTACTGTTCAGACATGTGCAACAGATCTTCTAAAAGCACCTCACTAGCTAATGCATGTGCTGCTATGCACCACAAATTCCTCCTGTGGAAACTGGAAGCCTCCTGGAAAATGCCACTAAAAAATTTCATTTAACAGTAGGAGACATCGCTCCAAAATCCATTAGCCAGCAGTTTGCAGCCTGAGAAAGAGGACCACAAAGCAGGCTTGCCTGTTCTTCCTCACCTGGGAAGTGTACTACATAGAGGGCAAGTCAGCGAGCACATGCCCGCTACCTGGGGCTGGTGCGGTTTCAGGATCCGTTCCCAAGCAGCAAGCTTTAAGAACTGTATCCAGACCACAGCATTACAGGTAGGATAACAAGCTTGCTTCCAGCCAGAGCAATGCCTTTTATGAAGCAGGAACATCCAAGTCATGAGGGACAGCAGAAACTAAGCCATATTGCCAGAGAGTGTTATATTAATACAGAGAAAACTTCCTACGTTGCAAGTATCCCACTGAATCTTCACTGTGCTGGGAATGAAAGGGCAAAGTGGGCTTTGCCAGGCCCACTTCTGTTCGAAGGACTGGTATTTAAGGGAGTGAGCCTGAACCAAAAAAAACTTCCCAAAGTCAAAAATAAAAACTAGTGGCTGTTCTGACTGTTTTGTAGCAGTAGGAAGTTGAAGTCACCATGTAAATAACACTAGTAAGTGTTCAAAGTGGACTTTCTGTTTTTGAAAACTTGTGACACGCAGTTAAAGGAAACAGTAGCTGTCCTTTACTCGAAGGGAGATTCCAGTTTCTCCTGCATAACAGAGGAATCTTTAGCCTTCATTTCCAGTTTTTAGGCATTTCCAGGCTCATCATTACAAGAGACGTTTGAAGATTTAAAGAAGCAGCTGAAAGGGAGGAAAGCCAGGTAGGGGATGCAATGAGGTCTCCGCATCCTTGCTGTGCCCCTAGCTCGTCTGGGAAGCCCCTGGAGGGAGCATACGGAGAAGAGGAAGAAGCCCAAGAGAGAGCAGGTAACAGGTTTGTCCTCTACTGCGGGGGAAACCAGTTTCCAGTTCAGCACTGAAATGGCCGCAAGATTTCTGCTTTCCCACCGAAGTGGCCCCCCCACCCCAACGCTTGTGCCCCGTTCCTACCTGAAGCCCACGTTCCTTACCCTGACCACCTGCCGCGTGCTTGTGATGAAGGTTTTCCGTATACCCAACTCCGTTGCATCGAGGTTGAATTTCCGAGGGTTTGCCTCAACAATGCGTGGAGAACAAGTCAAGGAATCACTGTTTGCAGGGTGCAGTACGTACGCAGATAGAGAAATCCTGATCACTGAGAAGTCTATCACGCGGTATAGCGCCTCCATTTACCTGTGCCTTTTCCCAACATTCGATTAGCAAAGTACAAGACACTAAAGGAAAAAAGCATGGCTGCAACATACTTTGCAGAACGCACGAGAAAGAAACCACACGCTCGTGTGGTTTTTGGTTGTCTGATGCTGTGCAGCACTTTCAGGAGTGTTCAGCCGAACACAGGGAAAAGGAGTATTTCTGGAAGCCAGCCTCGAGTAGGACTGACTACACAGAAATCCAAGTTCATTCAACAGAACAGTTTTCTGGGAAGAAAGCATCTTAATAGACACCTTTTCAAAAGGTGAACAAAAACGCAGAGGGAAATTCGTGCGCAGAACCTGTTTTGTCATCTTCCTCTCTCATTTGCAATTCGAGAAAACCTGGGGTAAACTGAAAATTCAATCCCGAACAGTCTTGGTTTCTGCAAAAAGCAACTACTGGCGAGCACGAGCACTTGACTGTTTATTGCAAGGTGTGAACTGCCTCTCTCTACCTCCAAAGACGGCACCAGCAGTGCAAAAAGGATATTAATTGTTTCATCCAGGTCTTCCAAGTCCCACTCGATGCTCCGCAAATTGTTCCTGAGCTCATTAGTGGTCCAGTCAATTTCTTCTCTTGTGGCTATAGAGGGATCTTGCAAGAGCTCCGTCCACCTCTGGAAGAGCCCCTGGGCAGTATTCACTGCTTTCTGCACCTCCCTGCAGTCAGGATAATTAAAGAGAAGTGAAGGGATTATTTTTAGTTGTTTTGCCGCAGTCATGCAGGGACAGTCCCATGTCCAGGAGAGCAGGGATGTGCAACCTCCTCCCAAACATCTTTCCTTCAAGTATTTTTGGTTTATTTTGTAAAATAAGGATTCACCACGCTTCTGGACAAGCTCGTCTCCTTTAGTGTTGTAGCATGAAGTGCTGAGCAACAACTCATAGTTCAGCTACCGGAGGTTTCTGTTCAGTGTCACAAACAGCAAGATAGGGCAGTGCAACTGTCTGATCAAGACTCTTATTTGGCAATTATTATTTTGCATTTCTCCCAACAGCTTTCCTCTAAAGACTGTTGACTACCTAGGCAAGATACCCCAAGGGCAAACAGAATTAGAGGAACTGCCCCCACGTTACAGTCATGCAGACTGTCCAGCGCAGCACTGTTTACTTTAATTTAGCATTAAAAAAATACACGGCTCTACTGCACTGGCTTAGCCAACAGAACTCTCTTCTGCTGCTCTCAGCTTTTTAGAGAAGAGCGCATTCACAGCATGGGAACATAGGCTTTGCTGACAGCACTGAACGCTGCATTCACGGTTTGGGGCAAGAGGGCAGGTAACTGTCGGTGTGATTATCCATACGTACAAACACTATGGACCATTCTCTTGGGCTAACGGCGAGTCAGGACGAAGCAGACAGACAAGACCAACGCCAGCGAGACTTTGCTGGCTCTTGAAAGGTGGCCACGAATCCAAGAGCTTGCACACAGGATCGTGCAAGGGGCACTGATCTCCAGTGAATCAAAGCAGTTTACCAGTTGGAGAAGCCTAGATGGGTGAACCACGTCCTCACCCAGCAGCCCTCGGAGGGCCATTGGGCTCCAGGTCTCTCTACATTACATCATTATGCTGAAGTCTCTGCACCTTGATGTGTGTTCCTCCTCTTCTCGGACATTTATGGCTCAAAGAGTCTGTTGCATCTACTCCCCTAAAGTTAGCAGCCAGGACTAAGGATCTAGTGTGGTTTGTTTCCTCTGTTACTTGCTAGGCAAAGTTTTGGGTGTTTTTTTTTTTTCAAATCTGAATGTGCTCGAGGAAGTCCCTACAAGTGGAAGTCTAAAGCGGAGCTCGATGTTTGCAGATGGGAGGAGTTATGAATGAAAGGAAAGCAAATTGAATGAAGCACGGCTGGGCTTGAACACCAACCCCTTCCACTGCAACCTGCAGGAGAAGAATCAACACCAAAAGCGGCAGCACATCCCCGCTCCCCTCCCAACCCTTTCCCTCACAGCGCGGGGAATCTCTCTGGAAAGTCTGACAGGACGTTTGCTCCCCACCCACGGCCTTTAGTGGGTTTTTGTTGTTGTTGTTGTTGTAGTTTTGTTTCCCATAGCACCAGTTCAACCTGGAAGAGCGATTCGCTTGCGTTCGCCCCCTGAGCGAACTCCGGCTGGTGCCGCGCTCCTCCCGTTCGCAGCAGCTTCCTCCGAATCCCTCCACCGCTCCGGACGGCCGCTCGCGTCCCCACGGCTTCGCTGCCACACGGAGCCCGCCAACCGGCCCCCCCCC